TTTTTAATCAATTTTTTATGTTCATTTTTATTTGATTAAAAAAAACAAAGGCAAATATATTCCTTATTTATCAGAACTAAAATTTAGAAGAATCAATGGTTTAACAATCAAACTAGTAGACTATATTTTAATATTTAAATATGTCAAAAAGAAAGAAAATTGTAAAAAGATGTCGCAAATAATCAATAAAATAGGTGAAAATTGATCATTCTATTCTATGGAGGTTGTTTCATGACAATGATAAACCATAATGAGTAATTTCTTCATACATTTATTGTTCATCTTAAAGACAAAAAAATGAATACAAAACCAACGAGTTTTCTTGTCTTTATAAATGGAGCTATTGAAAATGCTGAAGTTAGTATTAAAAGTTTTTTGTTTTTAAAATTTATTTTTAATTAAAAACATAAATAAGGTCCATGATTTCGATGATCTTTATCTTCGTTTTTCCTATGTTATTGGAAAAGATTGGAAAATATGTTCTGTATGTTTATTTTATTAATAAATATAAATAAATAAATCGAAAATATTATTTAAAGGGTCTTGAAGAAGGTACAACACAAATAGCACATAAAAGTGTTCAAGTTGGATCAAAAATAGTTTTTAATTTTCCATTAGAAGCTACATTTCGATCAACAAGTCCTTTTGGATGTTTGTATTTAACAAAAAAAAAAAATTATTTTTCTAAGATAAATCTATTTTATTTTATTATATTAGGGCCACAAATAGTTATTAGTGGTTATGGTTTAGATGTTTTTGGAAATGATATTGTTCGAGGTTATGGAACAACTCATATACCAATTAGTCCGGGACGGTATATTTTATTTTATTTTATATTCAATTTTTTTGTTATTTTATTTTATTGAAGACATCGTATTCGTATTCCACTTTTTGTTCCACGTTCATCATCTCGATTTCAACAACTTTTAGCTTGGTTTTTTGGTCGTCGACCAGAATTTATTGATCCAAAAGTTATTGCATTTAATGCTGGCAGAGAAAGTAATATGAATTGAATTATTCTTGTTTGTTTTATGTAAATCAAGAATATATTTTTATATTTAAGTGACACGAGTTCAATCTCATGGTTATGTTCAAGTTGTTTTTAATGTTGTTACTAAAGATATGGATGAGTTAGGATATAGAATTGAATCTAAACATTCTTCTAATACTTCTCAACAACGGTCCGATACAAATGAAGCAACATATATAGATAATTATCATATTTAATTACATTATTCATTTTAATGAACTGTTCATTATTTGTTAATATTATACGAAATACAAAACAAAAAAAATATTCTGAAATTCTTTAACATCTAATTAATTAATTTTTAAACGTTTTTCTATCAGAATAATTTTAAATAAAATAAAGTTTTTGTTAGAGATATAAACATTTTTGTTTTCAATGTTTAAATTCGAACTTAAATTTATCTTGAGAATAAAATCTTTGTTTTATTGTAATATTAAAATCTATTCAAATACAAACTCTTTTGTGAAACTCATTTAGATTTTCAAATAAAATATAATTAATGCAAGTTTATATCGAGATTTTTGCAACTCTTATCTTAGAGTTCTGGCAATCGAAAATTAGAAAAATATATACTATAGACTATTTCATATGTTTTATTAGCAATAAAAAGAAAATTATGCCTAAGTCATAACAGTACTTAGATTATTCTAGAACTTTTTAGAATCTTCTAAAGCATTTTTTTGAATATAAAACTGTCTATCATTAGATTTTGAATAGTCTACAGATAGTGAGTTTCACTATTTAATGTAATGAAACGATCTTATTGTAGGTTTCCATCAGTTGAATAGTGAGAAGATCGAACAAGAAGTGCTCGGAAACTGATTAAACAATTAAATCAATGTACATTACTGGATAATATCATGGTTGAATAAACGAGACGACAAATAAAATGTTATTTTCTACTTCCTATGGCATGTTAAATCATTAGAAGAAAAAAAGTAGTGTATTGAAGTAGCGGCGTAACCAGAGTTTTGGCGATGGTAGGGCTCAGCAACGCTTAAATATCCGGTGGTAGGGCTCAGGTTACCGAGGCCTGTGGGGTGGTAGGGCTTGTGAAAGGATTCAGTTGACGATGCGCTAACACCGGTGGTAGGGCTGAAAGGTCGGGTGGTAGGGCTGAGCCCCCCCTGGCCCTACCTTGGTTACGCCACTATATTGAAGATACATCAGAAAATTTATTTGACATATTTTTCAATAAATTATTTTAGCTTCTCTATTTATATCATTCAGATATCGTAAGTTCTACAGTTTGGTTTCTCATAGATCAACATTGAGAAATGAGACAGGACAAAAAAAATAAAAGAATATTTTATTTTCTAGAAAAATAAATTTTATCAGATGCTAAAACTTCTGATGAATATTAGTATATTGTCAATAATATAGATTGATATTAATCAAATAAAAACTTATAATACATAACTTGATACATAATTCATTTCTTTTTAACAACTGTCAAAGTCAAAAATTTCTTTTGTATTTATATTAAAAATTATTCAAAAAAAGAAAATAGTCACTTGTTTTTGTTTTTCGTTTTGTTAATAAATATGTTTTTCTTATCTAAATTGTATCTTATAGTATTAAATAAAGTCTATCTTGATTAGTTAATGTTGTAACGAAGAAGATCAAGATTTCTTCCAAGATAAATTAATTGAAAATTATTATATATATCACTTAATTCTCTATTAAATATATTTTAACATAGAAAAGAATATTTTCATTAAAATTAAAAAACATGATAATTCAAAATTATAAACGCATATGAATAAAACAATCTTCTCGAATTATCAACAGCATCTATATTGTGTTTCATATTTTTATTTTGTACGGATTCTACTAATGGCTTTTATGTGTTTTTAGCTATCAAATAGTTTAGATAGTTTTGTATTTTGAAGTTTTCTTTATAGAGTTTCAACTAGGTTTTTTTTTTTTTCTTATTTATTATCAAAATATAAAATTAAAAAAAAACTTTCTAAAAGATTCTAGAAGAATATTTGATTCGAACGTTTAATTGAATAAATAATATTGTAAATATTAACCATGTTTTACTTTCGAAAGTTTTATTTACTTAAAAAACAAAAAGATTCAAAGTTTTTTTTTTTTGTTTTTTTCTTTAGAATTTGCTGAAGTATGATTTCGAATGAGATTATTCAGGGTATTGAGAAAAAACTGGCATATGTCGTTCAAAGTTTATTTGGTGAGACTATTTTTATTCGATTTTATAGAATAATCAATGTGACAGTTTATTGAAAGGTTTGAATTTGACTATTTTCTTTTCTTTTGAATAGTTTGATCAAAATAACCTTATTTACATGTTTTTCATCCTGTTTGAAGTCATTGTATAGTTGTCAAGTCATTATATATGATTGAAATTAAATTAAATTTCATTCCATCAGAAAGAACACATTTATTTCTACCAAAAAAAAAAGTCTAAAATACAAAAAAAATACAATTGGTGTTTTCTTGGAAAAATACTTTCGAAGGTCACACATGTTCGATATTCATTCACAATATTAATTGTTCAACTCGAATGAAACACTCTTCGAGAATTTTGCTTGAAAATTTCTCAATAGATCATTTAGTTATTTATATACGAAAAATGTGAAAATACAGAATTAGTTATTTATTATGAGATGTTAAATATTTTATTAGAAATGAAAAGTTGATACTTCCCATGGAAAATTTTTTTCAAAAAACTGTTCAAAACCGCGGTTTCGATTGGATAACCGCGGTTCATGGCGGTTTTTTTGAACCGCGGTTTTCTGAAACCGTGTTGCTCGTATTCAGGACCGCGGTTCTAAATACCGGCGTATTCAACGGTCTAAAAAATTGCGATATAGTTATTGGAAACCGCGGTATTGCATAATCCGGTATTCAACAGTTTTTAAAATCGCGGTATAGTCCTTAGTAACCGCGGTGGCAAATACCGCGGGATTGAGCGGTTTCAAAAACCTCGGTATAGTCATTACTAACCGTGGTGGCAAATACCGCGGTGTTGAGTAGTTTCAAAAACCGCGGTACAGCCATCAGAAATTGTGGTGGTAAATAACACGGTATTGAGCGGTTTCAAAAATCGCGGTATAGTCATTAGTAACCGCGGTGACAAATACGTCGGTATTCAGCGGTCTTAGAAACCGCGGTTTTCAGCTGAAGAGCCGCGCTATGTCTGGTGCTTATACCATCGTAATGGCATGCGTAAGGACGAAGAGGATGTCGTGCCTTGCTATTTTCATGAAATTTTTAAATAAGTTTTCTTATTCTATCTCTCACTACAATGTAACTTTGTGGTAATGGAACTTCTAAAAGTTCACTACAGTGCCCCTCGAAGGGCGGCTCACCTGAACGTTTTCGAAAGTTCAGGTGAGTCTGGTCATACCTGTGTCAGGTTTGGCTACGAAAACTGCGGTATATAGCGGTCCAATAAACCGCGGTTTCCAGCGGTTCAAAAAACCGCGAAAGTTAGACCTTTTATGCGGTTTTGAATACCGGTGAAAACCGCGATGTGAAATTACCGCGGTTCTTGCCGGTTTTGAAAAACCGCATAAAAGGTCTGACTTTCGCGGTTTCGAGCAGTTTTTCACAAAAAAAATTTCCATGGGTTGTCTCTGCAGTATAGGCTGAAAGTTTTTGATACTTTTTTTTTTTCAAAACCCTTTTATTAGTTTCAAAAAACTTATAAATAAAAAGCATTAAAAAATAACTAGACAACAAAACTTCTGAAAATCGATATCGAATGTCAAAAACGTTCGAAAATTGAATATCTATTTTAATATCTTCGGCGCCTTAAGCAATCGAAAATATCCTTACAAAGTTTTCCTAGTAAAATCTAAGATATATTTTTCTTTAGTGTATAAAAGAATAATAAACACGAAGAAAAAAGAAATGTCCATGATGATTATTGTTAAGTACTGTTTGCCATATATAAAATGAATATAAATTTGAATAGAAAAAGCGCGTTTAATTAATTTGTATAATGGAATGGTCAAGAAAGAAAGATAATTTATTGAATATTCTTCGAACTCATATTCGTAGTTTAAGTTCAAATAGAATAAAACATAAAAAAAATTATCTTTCATTTGATTCACATATACGAATACCAATTATTCTTAATAAAATAAATGTTACACAAGCATCAACACAAACATTACCAATTAATATTAATAATAATGGTAGAAAATAATATCGAATATATATATTTCTACTATTTGTTTTGTTTTCATTAGCTGAAGATTTGAAATCAAATATTAGTATTCGTCATAAAAATCGTCGTCGAAAATATCAACATCGTTTTAATAAATGTTTAGCAGAATTACTTGAAAAATATCCTCCAATACCTCCACATGAATATTTAGTTGGTTTGCTTTTTTTTTTTTTTTTATATATTTTCTTTTAATTTAATTTATTTAAATGTTTTTTTATTTTTTATTTTATTTTAGAAAGACGATAAATCAATAAATGATAATTCAAAAAAAAGTTCTTATTCATCAATGTCAAATAGTTCGATTTTTGCTTTTTTTCTTTTTTTTAATAAAAAAAAAAATATTTTTGAAAAATTATTTTAGGTTGTGAAATAAATTCATCTGTTTGGTCAAAATTATTAGAAAGTCGAGAAGATTTATCAAAATTAAATAAGACTCTTGAAGATTTAGATCAACGATTAAAACGTCTTTCAATAAATATTTGTGTGAAATGTAAAGATAAAGATTTTTGTTAAATAATAAAAATTATCGGCGTTTTTCTTTTTTTTCTCTTGAATAATTAACAACGTCCACTGACATCTAGAAATCATTTTGCTTTTTATTCACTAAGATGGTTCTATCAATTTAAGAATTAAACTAAGAAAGATGTTCTTTTTTCCAGTGAAATAATTTTGTTTTCAAAAATGAATCAATTAATTCGTATCGATTGGTTCATTTATCAATCGAATTTATTATTTGCAGTTTGAAAAATTTAAGATAAGAAAAATGATATTGTGGTACTTTTATCGTATTCTGTATATACATTTCGTCCAACTAGATACTGATACTAACTAATTCTTTATTTTAAAATTGAATATTTAAATTGTGGAAAAAAAAACGAAAAGAAATAAAATAATAAATGGCTGAATATTGGAATTGGGCTAAAACATATCATTGTCGTCCACAATTATATGCTGAACCAACATCGATTGATTCTCTTCAAACTTTATTAAAAGAAATAAATAAAACAAAATCAAAAGTTCGTGTTATTGGTTGTGCACATTCTCCATCTTCACTGGCTATGTCAAATGAAGTTTTAATATCAATGAAACACTTTAATAAAATTATTGAAATAAATGAAAAAAATCTTGAAATTCATTGTGAAAGTGGAGTACTTTTAAGTACTCTTAATGAAATTCTTCCACAGCATAATCTTTCATTACCTGTACAAGGTTCCGTTAGTAATTTGACAATAGGTGGTGTTATTTCTACAGCTACTCATGGATCAGGTTTCTTTTTTTCTGAATTAATTAATTAATTAAATGATTTCGTTTGTTTTTTGTTATTATTTTAAAATTAGGAATTAACTATGGAACATTATCATCATATGTTCGATCAATAACTTTAATGAAATTAAATGGAGAAATAAAAGAATATTGTTTAGAAGATGATGAAGATTTATTTAATTGTATAAAATGTTGTTTAGGTACATATGGAATAATAATAAGTGTTCGTTTGGAAGTATCTAAATTATTTTATTTGGAATTAAATCAACATGCATTAGAATTTCATAAATTTCTAAATACATTTCCTGTTTATTATACATCATCAGATCATTTTCGTTATATGTGGTATCCACATACAAATTATGGTATTGCTTATAATTTAACAAGAATTCAACCAAAATTAATTAATAATAATAAATCATTTATAACAAAAATATTTTCTTGGATTAGATATTCATTAATTGGTATTATTTTATAAAAAAAAAAAAAACAAAAATAATATATATTATTGATTAAATAAAATTGTTGTTTTTATTATTCTAGGTCATCATCTATTGGAAATCTTATTTTATTTTTCATTATATCTTCCTTGTTTAGTTCGATATATTAATAATATTTATATTAAATTAGATGGATTATCAAATCATAAAATAGATCGTTGTGATAAATTATTTAATTTTGATTGTTTATTTTATCAATATGCAAGTGAATGGGCAATACCATTAGATCAAGCTGTATCATGTCTTTTTCAATTAGAAAAATTAATTGAACAAAATTATAATGTTCATTTTCCAATTGAAATACGTTTTAGTAAAGAAGAATTATCATATTTATCTCCAGCTTATAAACGTCAAACATGTTGGATAAATACAGTTGCATATAGACCATTTGGTCAAACTCATTTAGAACATCGACCTTTTTTTGATGCATTCGAAACAATTTGTTATAAACATAATGGAAGACCACATTGGGCAAAAGAACATCCATTAACCAATGAAGATTTCTCTAAACTTTATCCAAATTGGAATTTATTCCATGAAAAACGCAAAGAATTTGATCCAGATGATCTTTTTATCAATGATTGTCTTCGAAATATATTTCCATAAATTTTTTTTGTTTTTTTGTTAAACTAATAAACTAAGGACATCTATGATAAAATCAAGTAAATGCATAAATAAAATAAAAATGTGCACCATAGAGATATATGTTTGTCTACGATAAGAATATGACCCCTAGGTAACAGAATGCTTGGACGACCGTTGCTTGGTGTCATTCTTTTTCTCTTATTGCATTGACTAAAGTAACGGTAGTCATCGAGATCTTTCGTATTCTTGTCAAGTAACCGTCGTCAGGTCAGTAAAAAATAAAGAAAAAAAATTGGGTTACCATAACGAAACTTTCTTAGAGAAAACAAAGTTTTATATATTTGATGTTCTTCTAAAAAAAACACAGAAAACAAAAGAATGAATTATCTATTAAATATGGATATTCGATTATTTTTATCTTTTAAGTTTAAACCATGTCATCATCAACAACACTTCCAATACGAGTAAATAGAAACTATTTTTTTTTAACAAATTTTTTGGAAAATTTTTTGTTCGTTTTATTTTTTTAAAGAATGAAACGCGTATAAATGGTCAACAAGGACAATATTTAGTTGCAACAACAAATCAAACAGCTGGTGAAACCAATGGAAACCAAACAACAGGAAGAGTTATTATTGCAAAAGCACATCCACCAAGTCAAAATTCACAAATAAATCAAAATTCAAATAATATATCTGGTCCTGTGTATGTTTTTTTTTTTTATTTTTCATTAAATATTTATTTCGTATTTGTTGTTTTCTTTTTTAACAAGTCAATTTCAATTTAATTCAAGTGATGGAACACTTTATACAGGAACTAATTCATTTTTTCAACCACAATCATCAGTAAAAAAAAAACTAAATTTAAAAAAAAAAGTGATTTAATAATATTTGTTTATTAGAATGCATCATCGGATAGTTTTTCTCATCATATATTATCATGTACTGGTGGATATTTTGTTCCATCATTAGAAAGTGGTTCACAACCATTAACACATACAACACGAGCATCACCAGCTACAGTAAGAATATTTTACTTAAAAAAGAAACGAACTTTAAACCAATTCCAACTATTTAACAGTTGATATTTTGTCTATCAATAGATTTTAGTCTGACTACAAAATTTTTTGCGATATATAAACCAAAATCTATGTCTAAAAGAAAATAAATTTTGTTGTTGTTGTTGTTGTTTTGAAAAGATCGTTTCTCTGTAAGTCGAACTATTTTGGATATTAAATAGAATAATTCAAAAAAAATAAAGATCATTTATATATCAAATAAATAATATCATAGTAAATTATTTTATCTCAAATACTGTATAAGAAAGCAAAAAAAAACGAAAATAATCATATTATATTTAAGATAGTAGTTTGGAGGAAAGCTAGGACAAGTACACATATATTGTATTTTTAGTAGTTTCAATCAATTCTATTTATAACCATAAGATTAAATAAAAAAGTCTAAAATAGTTCAATTGCTTCTGTCCTAATACTTATAGTTAGTATAATATACTTGTTTTAAACAATTATTTATTGAAAATTTTCAATATATGACAAAATTTTGATAAACATATACTAGAAGAATATTCTATGATGTTAAATAAAAATTGTTAACTAATGAAAGAATCCTTAAAAGTGATTTGAAATTTTTTTTCGCGGATTCAATAAAACTAGAAAAATCTGTAGAAGATATTATTTTTGCATCTAGATCTATTTTCAAATAATTCTATATGATAATAGTAGTTGAAAGTATGAGTTGATAATATGAATGATTAAAAACAAAAAAACAAAAGAAATTATTTAAATATAATATAAAATAGGTTCAATGGTTAGTTGATAATTTTGAACCAGCTGAAGGTTGTTCACTTCGTCGATCAACATTATATTCATTTTATTTACAACATTGTTCAGAACAAAAATTAGAAGCTGTTAATCCAGCATCATTTGGAAAATTAATTCGATCTGTTTTTCTTGGTCTTCGTACTCGTCGTTTAGGTACACGAGGAAATTCGAAATATCATTATTATGGAATACGTGTTAAACAAAATTCATCATTAAATGCTTTTTCGGATGAACATGGTGGTTTAACATTTCGAGGTAATAATGCATTTGCTAATTTTAAAAATCGTCGTTGGTCAACATCAAATGATGGTTCATCACCAGAAAATAAACCAAATATAAATGATCAATCATATTCATCACAATCAGAATCAACATTATCACAAACAGATACAAAACAATTTTTACATGAAAATAATTCATTTATTATTAATGAAAATATATTAATTGATTCAAATGTTCAATTACCTGATAGTATTACACTAGATGATATTAAACGTTTTGAAAATATTTATAAAGATCATTGTCTTGTAAGTTTTAGTTTTTTTGTTTTTTTTTAATTTTTTTGTTGGTTTTTTTTTAGAAATTATTTGATGTTATAACAACATTAGATTTTGGTTCAGTTGAACAAATATGGTTTAATTTTTGGTCCCAAACAGGAAGAGAAGAAACAATACCAATGGCATTATTTCATTCAATATGTTCATTATATTATGTTCAAGAATTTATTAGAAATTCGGATTATCAATTATATCAACAATTAGTTGATAGATTAATTGTTGATATTTTATCACCTATGCCAAGTTAGTTATTAGCTTTAATAGAATATTCAGAAAAATTTACACATTATATATTTTGATAATTGTTTTTGTTTTGTTTGCTTCAGCAAGTGCAACACAATCAATTCGAACATTTGGTAAAAGTGTTGATGGTTGGCTTCGTACGGCATTAGGTCATTTACCAGAACGATTAAAAACAATAAAATTAACAATAATAAATGCATTTGCAATGACATTAAGACGTTATACATCATTAAATCATTTAGCTCAAGCAGCACGAGCTGTTCTTCTTAATTCAACACAAGTTAATCAAATGTTAGCTGATTTAAATAAAGTTGATTTTCATAATGTTCAAGTTAGTTTTTTTTATTTTAATTTTCTTAACAAAAAAAATAAATTAATGTGTTTAGGAACAAGCATGGTGGGTATGTGAATGTGATGATAATTTAGTTTCTCGTATTGAAAGAGAATTTAAAAATCATTTATCATCCCAATCAACATTAGAAGATTGGTCACAATGGCTTGATTCATTATTAAATGATCTTCTTA